CAGTCCTTCCAACTATTTTCCTCGAGTGTGTACCTGTGGTATTCCTTGCACTGTCCCGTAGCCTCGTCTTCCCCTTCACCGCAGTCGTCGCTCAAATCACACACGTTCTCCAAAGAGACACACACCTGGAAGGAAGGATGTCTGGTTGTGAGAACATTATCCCACTTTCGACAAGAGAGAAATGGTAGCTGTCTATTTTGATTTTTACAAGTGTAATCCAGAGATAAAGGATTCTGGTCATACTATACCTGTGTGATGGGACAAAGGAAGCCCAAATCGCAGTCATCTGGTTGTGGGTCAGGATAGTGGCAGTCATTCTCGAACTTCACTTCATCAATGGCGAACTTCCCATAGTAATCATTGGATGGAATCTTGTACAGGGATACCTGGAATGGTGATTTCTGTCTACCTATACCAACCTCATCAGACAGCCATTTTCCATCTTCATTAGAATTTGAGTTGAAGAAGGTCAAGTTTGTGAAGATTTCCGGCGTAATGTTCAGTCGAAGAACTACATCAGATCCCAGGACTCCATTCATGTAGTACCAATACTTGAATCGACATAATGGGGCAGAGTTCTGATACCAGTGTGTATGAGTATAACCATCTTGATCTTTTACATTTTCACTGGTCTTATAAAGGAGAAGGAAATGTCCTGCCTTCAGGTGCGTTGCATCCTCATATGGACCACCATTTTCTGTTCCAAAGGAGCTATCATTAGCCCTTGCTACTACCCAGTTGAGACTATCATTGACAGCTTCTTGCCATCCACACGAATCCACTTCAAAATTGCAATAAGATGGACACATGACCTCATCACTAGCGTCTTGACAATCATAGCGGAAGTCACACACTTTTGTCTTAAGTATACATATCTTGGATTCTACACACAGAAACTCGTCCTCTGGACACTGTCCTGGTGGTAGTGTGGTTATCTGACAATCTGGTGAAAATGAAACGTCATCAATGGCAATGTCTCCAGTGACTGGCTCTCCTACTATACCCTCAAACATGATCTTGAAATATCGCGCAAAATTAACAGAGACAGCTACCTTTTCCCACAGATACTCCTCAGATCCTGTCGTGTGGAATATTTCTTTCTGTAGCCTCTGTGAATTCACAGATGTTTCAACTGCATATACAGTTAAGACGACATTCTGTTTACCTCTTATCATGTACCAGAACCTGAATTCACACTCGCCTGCTGAAGGATAGAAGGAGGTGCTAGATATTCGGCCATACTTTCCTGTTGAGCCAATGGCACTTTCCAAATACAAGTAATATCCTGTATCATTTCCATATGTGTGATCATAATCTGGGCCTACATCCTCTGCTAATGTATCGCCATTCTTTCGAATCCACTGGAGTTCACTGCTCTCTTGTTCCCACCTGCAGAAGTCCTCTTCAAAGGTGCACCTTTCTGGATATTTTTCACATACGAGACCAAGCTCATCTGTATTATCTCCACAGTCATCACTGAAGTCACAAAGAGCACTGTGATCAATGCAGTTGCCATTTAAGCAACTGAACTCATCAGGTTTGCATATTGTTGGTTCTGGGACAGAACAGTTAATGAAGTGAATGTTATCTATCATTATCAGTCCCTCCTTTTCATAGTTATCTGCCTCAAATTTCAGACTCCAGCCTGCTTCGTGTTCGCCTATTCCAATAGTCTGTTCATGCCAATCTGATCCCATATCACTAAGAACAGACCATATTGTGTACTCATTTCCTAAATTGCTTTTCAGATATACACGTAATGCCGATCCACCGTTCTCTCCTCCCCGTTTGTAATAACGGAAAGACATAACACATGATACATAAGACCGGCCAAGAGGTACACTTACAAGGTCAGCTGATGGTGAAATGCTGCCAAACCTTTCTTCTGCAATCATGACTTGGCCTGCAAGCCCTTCAGTGGGAGATTCTTCTCGGGACCAAAAATATGCACCATGACTCTGATCTTGCCATCCACAAATGCCATCATCAAAGGTGCACTCAGCACACGTTCTTTCATCTGAGTTATCCATGCATTCATTAATGAAGTTGCAAACACGGTCCATGGGGATACAAGCTCCATTTTCACACTGGTAATCATTGCTGCATGGACCGGACGTAGTTGTGGTGACAACAGGTGGTCCAGTAGGCAGATAACCCCCTTTACCACAGGTCTCACTGAAAGATATATCATCGATGGCTATCACAGATCGTTGCTCTTCTGTATACTCTAAAGTTGCCGCTTTGATGACATACTGGACAGGGCTATCCATTATGTAATGAGGTGGCACATACACTTCTGCTCTCTCCCAGTAAGGACCCACAGCCTCTTTTATTGTCAAATGAGCAGTTAGTGGCCCATTGACTGTACTCCTTGTAGATACCACTAGACTGTCCACTGCAGGTCCATCACTATAGTAGAAGAAACGCAATATGCATGGAGGAGCATTAGGCTCATACCGCTCCCATTTTATGACAGGACTTACAAGAGAGCCAGCTGTTGCATTTATATTACTCTGTGTACTTTCAATGTAAAGGTAGGTTCCCATAGGTGTGTTAGTTGTATGATCCCGTGGTGGAATAATATCCTGAGTGTCTGGAGATCCAAGCAGCCAGTTGTTCTCATTTTCAGTGTCCCACTCACAGAGATTCCCATCTTCAAAGTCACATCTGGCATAAAATTTATAGCAATCTGCTAACTCAGTGTCCTCATCGGAGTAATCTCCACAGTCATCAACAAAGTCACATCGCTCAAACATTGATACACAGGCCATATTGATACATCCATATTCAGTACATTCCCCAGGATCCTGTGGTGTAGGAAGGAAGCAGTTTTCAAACAAAATATCATCAACAGCTATATAACCACCCACTTCTAGATTACGACCTCCTTCAAACATTACATGGAATTCGTTTGATATTCTTCCAATGTATGCTATACCTTCCCTCCACTCATCACCCTGGTTTCCAGTAAACTTCACGACTTCTACAGTTATGTCATCAACTTGGTATACCACTCTCAAAGTCCCAATATCATTTGCAGTTGATCCATACACAATATAGTAAAAACGCATGCGGCAGTAAGCTGCAGAATTTCGCAGCGTTGGACTCTGAAGGATGGCTTGGTCTCCCTCTCGGGACTTGACTGTTATTGGGACAACTGCCATGTAGTGTCCTTCAGGTGTAAGCAATGTATGGTCTAATGGAGGTCCGAAGGTATTATTCATTATGCCTGAGAGCTGTTGCCATATGAACACTGAATGATCTTCATTGATGGTTCTCCATTGGCAGTGTTCTTGGTCAGCACCCTTCTGTTCAAATGTGCAGTTGTATCCACAAAAACGCTCATCTTGTGCAAGGCTACAGTCCTGTATGAAATCACACATTTGTTCCTCATGTATACACAGGTTGTCACATTTTGTCACACAGTCTGGTTGTGACGAATTTGAACAAAGTCCACTTTCCACTTTAACATCATCCAGTGCAATTACTCCAACTTCTCCATGATCTGAGGTAGCACTCAATCTTAAGCCATATCTCTCGTATTTGCTTATGTTGACTTGCACAAACGTCCAGTCTGCCATTAGAGTACCACTGTGAGTCCACACATCAGTAAGTTGGGTGTCATATGCATTTCTAACACTAAGAATTAGACTTGGTGACCCTGAACTTTGAATGTGATACCAGAAACTAACACATCGATCTTCTACTTCCATAATGTTAGATTCCAAGACTGCTTTAGTGATATTGTTCTTATTTACTGCACTAAATGTATCAACAAAGGCATAACTTCCATAAGGAGATCCTAGTGTAACATCTACTGGTGGAGCATTTACATTTGTGAGTTGATCACCACTTCCAAGCATCCAGTCAAAGTCATCGTCTGGCATATTTTTCCACATGCATAGATCTTCTTCAAAATTACATTCACTCATTGGTTCACATGCTAGGCGTGGCTGTATATCGTCTAAACCAATTATGTATTGCCCACCTCTTACAGTGCCTTCAAAGGCAAGAGAGTAAGGTTTGGGAAGTGCCACAGGCAAAACATAGTGGTTCCAGCTGCGTCCAAGGGTATCTCCAATGTAGAGTAGAGGTTCAGGATTGATATTCCCATCCAAGCGAGAATAAACTGTCAGAGTTGATGCATCATAGCCCTCATAGCCATTCAGATATACCCAGAACTCGACACAACTATATTTAGGATCGAACTCATTAGTGAATATCATAGATGTTCCTGGATCTGTAAGCCTGATGTAGTGTCCTCCAGCCTCTTGAGTGGAATGATCTGAGCTCGGGACATTTAAGTCCTCATCTAAACTTGCTGTTACTAGATCCCAGTCAGTTTCATCTTCTAGTGACTGATCAAAATGGCACATACCATTCTCAAAGTCACAGAGTCCACTGCTCTTACATGGACTGAAATCAAACAGTATATCATCAATAGCAATATTGCCGCGCCCTGCATACTTAACATGTGCTTCTAATATCATCTTGCCACTGTCACCACTAGAAAACTGGGCTTTACCTTGAATCCATTCACGACTTTGCTCACCAGACCTTTCCCACAGCGCTTTGCTATGATTACTGCCTGTCTCCATTTTCACTGTTAATTTCCCAACTTCAAATCCATGCATGTGATACCAGAAAGATAAACATGCAGCACTAGTACCAACATTGAAGTCAGGGCTGATCAATCGACTAATGCCATTTGAATATTCATTGGGAAAAGCATAGATGTAATGACCGTCCTTTGTCATGGTAGTATGGTCAGTGTCTGGCCCTGTCTCCACACCATCAGGTGGTGTCCCTTGCCAGTGCCTCCAGTCAAATCCATCATCTTTATCTTGCTCCCAGTAACAGATGGGGTCGTCTTTTTTCTCAAAATCGCAGTCATATACCGTCGGCAGATGAGTGGGTTCAGGTGTAGTTAAGGGTGGGGGAAGAGTGATAACCTGACAATTCTCAGTAAATGCAATATCATCAATTGCAACTGCATCATATTCAGAGAATGTTATATCTTCATCAACAAGGAGAAGTATTGCTATTTCATATGTGTCTGATATTATGTCTGTTATTATTACTGCTTCTTCCCACAGATATTCTAAGGAAGAGTTATAAACCTGCAACAGAGGGTCTCCATCACCTTCCCCTACTAGATTAACACTGAGGGTTGCATCAACTATGTGTTGCATTGAGTACCACAGAGTTATGCACTTGAGTTTTGCAGGGACTGTACCACTAAACAACTTGGCAGAGTCTCCTTTCTTCTTACCTTCAAGCTTAGCAAGCATGTAATGACCTGTCTCATAATTAATTGTGTGATCCACCAGAGGTCCTGTGCCTTCTATGCCTGTAGCTCTCACCCAGTCAAATGAGTCATCATCATTGTCTGCATTGTACCAGTCACAGAGATCATATTCAAAATCGCATACGTGTCTTCTAGGACAAGTGCCAGGGACGAATTCAATATCATCCAAAGCAATACTACTCATGTTGTTTGTTCCTGTTATACCTTCAAACCTTACCACAAATTTCTGCAGGTCTGGAAGCGTTACCATGCCAAGGCTCCACATCTCAAACGTGTTGGATCCGTGAGACCAAATAGGAAGAAACTTATCTGATATTAATGGGTCTTTCAAGGCCACTGCCAAATCTCCAACCTTTTCTCCTAGCAAATGATACCAGAACCTAAGGCACTGAACACCCACAGACTCGTATAAGGGAGACTCCAGGAATCCCCTTCTTTCAGGCTTTTCTTTTATTTTTAGGTAAGCATAATATCCCATTTCAGTATTAGTAGAGTGATCTACAGGAGGGTTTTCAGTCACATTATGCTTGCCCCGGTCCCTCTTCCAAATTGTGGTGCCTCCTTCACCCTGTTTCCATTGACAAAAGTCCTCTTCAAAGTCACACAAAGCTTGGCTCAGCTTTGAAGTCATTTTTATGTCATCTATCGCCACTAATCCTAGGCCTGCCTCCTCCCACTCTGCCTCGATGATAATGGTGAAGTCATCATTTGGGTCAAGACTTTTTTCAAATAACATCCATCGATCTTCTTGAGAATCCTTGAGCTCAAACAGAGTTTCATTTTGTTTCGAATTCTGTAGCATCTGTATAATTCTGAATGTTCCAACATTTTCGCCATAGAAATAGTACCACAGAGAGAAGACGTTCTTAGAACCATGTGGCTCAGATTGGGCTGTACTCAATATTCTTGCCTTATCACCTTTGTTTGCCGGAGTCACAAAGTCCACATACATGTACTTGCCCTCGCCCGTAGTGTGGTCGCCAAGCTGACTGTGGTATATGTCACTCATTTTCCACTCTCGCTCTGCAGAGTGATCTTGCCTCCAGTTACAATCTTCGGGTTCTTCAAAATCACAGTCCAGTCCCAAAAGAAGTTCATTACAATTGAAGAAATCAATATCATCAATTGCAAGAGCTGAGTGAGAGGCAGCCCAGTCACTACTCTGGTCAAAGACTGGAGTTGCAGCCAACTTGAAGTAAGCCTTCCTTGGTGTAAGTCTGGCCGGTGCAATGACTTCATACCATAGTTCTTCGTCTACTGAGTACGTTGAGTTGTAGAGTAGATGATCAATGTCCTCATAATCATTGTGATAATACAGAGCTAGGTGTGCATTCATACCATGCTTGACGTACACCCAAAAATGCAATTCACAGTAGTATCCTGTTGTGTGTTGTACAGGTGGGCTCACCATGACTGCTGTCTTACCCTCTATACCTTCTGCTCCCTCAACATACACATAGTGTCCTTCGGGCACTCCATAAGTATGATCTAGATGTGGGTGCTCATATGCGCTTATTGACTTAGCAACAATACGTTTCCACTGGAAGAGGCCTTCACTAACGTCTGACCAGTCACACATGCCATATTCGAAATCACACTCACCGCAATTCTCTTCATCAGCTTTATTACTGCAATCTGCTTTCCAATCGCATCTATTTGCACTGGGAATGCACTCATCCCTTATCCTGCAATAGAATTCATCATCACTACAGGGATTATATGGAGGCATTGGAGTGGATCCTATAGGGAGAGTACTATTGACTTGCTTGCAGACTTGTGTGAACGAGAGATCATCAATAGCAATATCAGTAAATTCGAGATTGCTAGCAACTCCTTCAATGATAAACTGGAATGGTTTGCCCTCAGAGACTGCAGCCTGTACAACTACACGATCCCAAAACTGTCCTTGTTCCCCTGTCCTTCTGAAAGCCAGAACCTTCTCTCCATTCAATTCCGTTGCGATGTAGACATTCAACTCCTGTATATTTTCTCCATACATGTAGTAATGGAATCGAAGTTTGCAGTTGACCGAATCGTCTCCTTCCACAGTCAAAACAGGGCTAAGGAGCCAAGCACGGTATGTTTTCATGTCCTTCTCTTCCTCTGCATTACGGGAGGACGGATTTGTGATGTACATGTAGTGGCCAACAGAGAGTAGAGTTGTGTGGTCGACGGGAGGGCCTGTCAGGAAAGTTCTACTGCCAACAGGTGTCATGCCACTCCCATACTGCCAATCTGAAAGTTAAAGTACAGTCATGGTATACTTAAGTTTACAAGAAAGTCACTGTTTCCACGGTTAGTTGTTGGAGTGAAAGTGATAATGCTTTACATGATAACTGCTTAAACACAAACTGTGAATAAACAGTTATTAAAATGGGCTTCAGTATGTGTTAGGAATAACATGGTTTTCTCCATTTTTAACATTAGACTGATGTTAATCATTCATTATTATATCTTCAGTTAATTTGAACATCCCTTATACATGAATTATACCCTAATGTATACTAAAATTCAGTTTTTACCAATGTCATCGTTTTCATGCTCTTGAGTCCAGAGACACAGTTGATTTTCCTCAAAGCCACAGACTTCTGGGTATGCACCACAATTCTGTTCATCACTGAGGTCACCGCAGTCATTCGTATAATCACACAAGAGGTCCGGTTCAATACACAGTCCTGTGAAGAAATGCTCATTATAAGATAGTATTTTTGGAAGTATTGTATAATATACTTCACTGATGACGTAATATTTGTGCAAACAAAAAAAGATTCACAGTGACATTTTACTTATTGGCATTTTTAAAATACGAGTGTTCATTAAATGATAACGAAGAAAGTATAGATGCAAGACTGCATTTCCCAGATTAACGACAGTACATATTACAGAATATTTCGGAAAGACTGTACAAGTGGGTGATTCCCTAAATAATTATTTCCAGTTGACATCAAAACATGTTCTTCAACAGTTTCAGAATATACCAAAGGTACTTGGAATGAAAAAAGATGTTTCATGAAACATTATCAGTCTTTTCTGTATGATTAATACACACACACACACACACACACACACATATATATATATATATATATATATATATATATATATATATATATATATATATATATATATATATATATATATACCTGTCCATGAACATTTCATCTGGTAAGGAAGACACTCGTCGGAGGACACAGGCAAGGCACAGCCAGTGAATCTGATGTCATCTAGGGTCAGGTCGGTTGGGCCATTGTCGTTCTGACCTTCGATCTGCACGCTGAATTCCCCCGGCCAGTCTGACCAAAAGAAAATAGGGTATCATTAGCATTCATAGGACTTAATTTACATTATCTTCACCATACAGAGCGGAGAAGTGCTCTCAACTTTGCGACTCTCTGTAGGCGAATAATTATTTTCAAACACGGTAATTAGGAAGGCCATTAGTATTATTTGATGAATATGTGGGATTTATTTGTTCTAAAATCACGTTCGTTAAAAGAGTCGCTAGGGATTACCCATATTATTACCTGATTATAAATTGGCAATGAAAATCAAAGAAAAAGACTTTACCCATAAGCCAGGCTGATGCAAACATCCAGTCTTTGTTCTTATTGTCGACTAAGAAGAAGATTGGAGTAGATTGGCCATTGTGATTAACGCTCACGGTAAGATGCACGTGGCGCCCTGACTCGATTACTGAGTTCTCTCTAAACCTGTAATCACAACAATATTTCATTTAAGCATCTGCTATAGTGTTTCCTCAGATGCGCAAGTTCTTATAGAAGAAGATGGCGTTCACATTTTTACTGAGATGGAATATTTTAAACAGAATACGGACCGATTTTATATTAATCAAGAAACACTCCATTAAGATGCAAACTATTTTGAGCATAAAAAATATAAAAATGTATGCAACTTTGAAGCAACAGCATAATTTTCTAGTCTTGAAATCGTGAACTATACGAGCACAAACACGAAAGTAGACACACAATAAGAACCCAACAAAATCACAAATACAAGCAAACACAAGCACTTCATCAACAGCACATCATAAAGACCACTCTTACTCGACGTAGCAAGAGGAGCAAAGTCTCACCAGAACTCCATAACACACTGAAGATGTGAATTGTGGTGGGGATTGGTAACCATCACAGCAGGTCCCTCTACGTCGCTGGGTTGCTCGCTGGTGTAAACAAAATACCCGGCGTCTGTTCCCAGTGTGTGGTCGTATACATAATCAACACCCGAGTCCTCTGTCATGTTCCGACCTCGCTTCCAGATGTTGTCGTTTGTGTTGAGGAATGTCCAACCGCAAGAGCCTAGTGAAAGGAGTGATTGAGAAATGAAATTTTGATGTAAGTATGATTTTTTTTTTCTTTTTTTGATAGATGTTGGGAACTTTGTTATGTGTGTCTAAGGTAAAAATATTCTTGTTCACTATTAGGTTTCATGCGAGACGTATTCTGTATCAAAATTGAATATTTTCCAAAAAGAATGTAAGTATTTTGATATATACTTTGTTTCTATTTACTATTCTATTTTGATGATGTACTGTATGAAAAATTAAGAGATATAATTTTTACTAAGCCTACATAAGAAAAAGGAATTAAATACTTTCTGAGAAGTGTCACAGTTCTATATCAGAATTATAACACATAAAAAGAAACAGATGAGAGAGAGAGAGTGAGTGAGTGA